AGTGACTCGGCAGTTTTTTGTTTTGTTTTTTTTGTTGTTGTTTTTTTCCCTCAGGGACAACAGTGATGGAAGAGCAACACCTGGAAAGCTACACAGCAGACCGTGGAATAAATGAGTGAAAATGTGCAATCATAAAGAATGCGCTCTGTGCTTTAATTTGTTGGCTACTCTTAGCTTAAGTTAATGTGATCCAAGTTGTTACCACTAGTGCAGTAAGTCCTCTTTAATAAATTTCGGGGTGTTTATTTAATTGCATGACCAGAAAGGTTTTTGTGATATAGAGCCTAGGTGTGTGTGTGTGTGTGTGTGTGTGAATAAAATACTAGAAACACGACTTTTATAATGTGGATTGATTTAAAAAGTAAACAGTAAAGTCCTGGAGGATGGATTTTATTGGCCTGTTATTTTGAGTAAACAGTCAGCTGTTGTGTATGCAGATATAGTTTCAGACAGGGGCCCGATGGCTACTCTAAGGGCATTAATAAGTAGTTTAGTAACATTAAAGTTATAGATTAATCAGGTTTGATATTTTTAAACTAGTTCAAAGATTTAAATCGATTTTAGGGGGTTTCTTACACTTTTTGTCCAATCAGCAGCACCTTTTTTTTTTTTTTCTTGCCAACATTTGTAGATGGTGTTCCTGTCACAAATGTTATATGGATTGTTTTTTCAAGTAACTTAAAGAAGTCCAGACGCTTTTCTTTGCAAGCTCCTTTACTATATGGATTGTTGTTGTTGTTGTTTTTAAATCCCTGTTATTGCCTGTTATGACGCACAATTTTCATTTTCTTTTATTCGTCAAAATGAGCGCCGTGCCTTGTAAATCTACAGCCAGTGAAAAATGTGGTTACAAATGTTGCGTTTCTTTTTAATATACAGCCAAGGTGATATAAGAATGAGATGCAAGTTGTTGTTTTTATTTTGTTTTTTTTCCCACTCGCTGCTTGTGTTTGCATAATGTAAATTGTCTCTGCTCAGTGGAAACAATGTTTGTCATAGAAATATACAACTTAAATTTGCAATGACATTGTAATGGTTAAAATTGTAACAGTATTCAGTAGTAATTTATGGGGGGGATGAAGCCCATCATTTGTCAGCAGAATGATAATCCACAAATGTTTTTATTGCTGAGTAAAGTGAGTAAAGCTTTCAAGTAAAATATTGCAGCTGATTAATATTGATTTTGGGAGAAACTGACATGTTTAAAAGAAGAACCGTTGATGGCTGTAACACGTTTTCTGCCATTATAATCTGCTCTCTGAGTGATACCATTAAAAACGTGTATCTTCCTAACTGTCCTGTGGCCTGTTTACAGAGTTGTCACGTCTTCCTGCCAGATTGGAGGCGGTTGTTATCTGTTTGCAGCTGGACGAATGGATCGTATGATCTCATTGAGTTTCTTTTTAGGCACCTTTGCCTCACGTGTTGGATCATTTGCCTTATTTTCCTCAGATAAAGGAACAGTGTCTGTCTGACTGGTAATGTCTTTCTTCTCATCCTTGGAAAGTTTCTTTTTTATTTTCTCTCCAACTCTTTCCAGCCCCCCTTTGTCCTTCTCCTTCCTTCCCGGTGAACCAGTTTGACTCGTCTCTTTCTTTGTGTAATCCATCGAGAGTCTTTTCAGCAATGTCGGCACTTTCTTGTTTGCTGTCGGTGACGATTTCTTCTTGGAATGCTTGTCCTTCCTCGACTTTTTCACACTCAGTTTGTCCAGCGACAGAGCGTTCTTCTTGCGTTTCTTATGAGGCAGCACCCTCTTCAGTTGACTCCAGGTCTTTTTCAGAGGTGATTTCTTCTTCTTCTTCGGCCAAAAGATGGTTGTTTTTGAGGAGGAGCCACCCATTGCTGACCTGCAGGAAGAAGTAAAATGTGATCAGCAAACACACAAGTTGTTCAGGCAGCTTTTTACAACAGTTTAACACAGCTATAAATATACCTCATATATAATACCTAATCAATTTGAAAGCTAGATTTTAAGATAGTTTAAATAAAAACTCCTAACGTGTAACTGTGTCTTGATGCATGCGCAGTCATCCAGGTAAGAATGTGTAACTATATTTGGAGTTTTGGGATAAGCAAAATTTGAAAACTGAAAATGTCAGCAGGGTCATTCCAAGCTGATGGTGGTTAAATGTATTTCAGTGTTAGGTCTTAGAAGAAGGCTGTATTTGATTATTACCTACTCATCTGGTTAATTTGATTATTTTATAGAGTTTAGTTCTCAGTCAAGGAGAAAGTTAATTAATGATGGTGATCTAAGGTAAAGACGCCCAACAAGGCTCAACATCCTAGTGGGCTCTGTGCTCACTGCCCAGCACTGTGACAGCTGATTGGCAGTTACCATAAAATACCAGAAGTGGCAGCTCCACCATTGGAGCCAGGTGGAACCTCAGACTGTCCAGGAGCTAAGTGATGCCCTGATCCAGCTGGGCGGAGCATCTGTTGTCTCATTGGGTGCATGCTACAATGTTATAAGGCACGTGTACAAGCATGTGAGGGCAAGACAAATTTCTGAGTTACTGCAAGTAAATTTCAGTAGAGTGGACTAGCCTGCATAGTTTTTCCACTTTGATTTTCAGTATCTTTAAATTCAGCCCTCTGTAGTTTCCTTTCCTTCATAACACATGATCCAGTCTGTATCAGTATAGATATCCAGAAGATTTTTTTATTTATTTATTTTTTACAATTGAGATCTGATGTCTTTAAGTGTTCCTTTAATTTGTTGACCAGTGTAAATATAGATTGGTATTTATATAGGTGTAGATATACAGAAATATAGTGTGCTTTTAAATTTCTAGTTTGGTGATTTATATGAATAGTATGGTCATTTCACAAGCCATATATGGAAATTACCATACTATTCACACCAACTCTCTGGACAAAAATAGATCTTTAGTGTAACGGCCACACCAGAAACCACACATTGAAGATGTGTTGATTACACTTTCCTGTCACATTTACTTAAGGTTAGGTTTAAGGTTTCACTCAAAATGCACATATAAATAGTATCACTGTTCAAACTAATATTACTCCACTCTGGACTATCACTTCAGTCTCTGCTATTTGCAACAATAACTGTCACATATAATAAGTAGCTTTGGTAGTATAAGTACAACACAAAGAGTTATCAAACCTGACAACTTTTATATTTCAAAAGGTAAAAGAAGTATAACAAAGATCAGTTCCTCTTCATACTATATTATCTGATACTAAAACCTCCAGGCAGAAAGCCAGGGTAATGAAGTCTACGTACCGCGAGAGCTCTCCACAGTCAGACCGAACAAATGTTTTGGATGACTTTCCGTGTCGTCTGTGCCGAGTTTAAACCTGAGACTTGCTTATAACGAACATTTACACAACACTTACCCTTATGGAAAGTCTCTTAAGAATCCTCCTGACTGTGACAAAGACTGGGCCTTTTTTCATGTGATCATGCACCAAACACAGACAGAAAAACCTGGAAGAACCAACCTGTTCTGTGACATTCTCCAGAGCTGACTCTGCTTGTGTTTCTGCTATGTCAAAGAGGCATGTCTCCCTCTTAAAAATCTATTATGGACACTTATGAATATGACATGTATGTTTGCTGATTACAGTTTTGCACTTACACAGCTGTCCATTTACATTTAACCGGAGTGCCCTGTGGATCAATGTTGAACTTTGTGCTTTTCTGTTTGGGTTTTTTTTATTTTTGGATGAACTTCAACAACAACTGAGCACAATGTCAGGCACCGCCTCACCCTGGGTCCTGTGTCACAGAAGGTTTGAACTGAAACGAAACTGAAGCTCGCTGATCCAGAAGATAAATCATTCACATTCTCACTCTCTCTTGTTCGGCTCCGTCTTTATCCTCTCTGCTCAGAAATCTCAGAGTCACTTTTAACCTGATTCCTGATGCAGTTTGCAGGTTTCTGAGCATGATGTTTGCTCACACGAGATCCAGCTCCTGCAGTTTCTTACACAGTGCAAAAGCTTTCTAAAACATTCAAGCTTAAACGGTTTTCTTGTGTTTCCTGGATGCCGCAAGAGAAATGCTTCCATAAAACGAAGATTCTTTGAGATTTTGTGTGTTAAGACTTAAGATGTGCTGCAGCATGGCTTTTTTTTAGCAGCACATTGCTGATGTTTTGATTGTCAGGGTGGTTTCCTGTTTCCTGAGTTTGTAACACCTAACACTGGTTATATTCACTAAAATGTTTTGGTTGTCTAAATTCATTTAGTGCCGAGCTGGCAGTTTCAGCACTGCATGTATTTCAGCATTTTCTTCTGTCTGCAGGCAGCTGTTTCATAATTTGTGGTCATGCAAATCTTCAACCTCCAAGGGCCCAACCAGATAAGAGCATCAGACTGTGGTTTTTAGGTTAGCTATCACATGGGGGGGGGGGAAACATATCAATAACAAGACCATGTAAGGGTCTTAGGGTGACAAATCTATGTAAGGTTACAGGTTCATGGGGGGTGTCAGAGTGCTTCAGTTTGCTTTTATCATAAAATCTTTTGTTTGTTTCTGTAGTTTGTTTCGGTAGGCTATAGTAAAGCTACCCATTTGTGTGACGCTTGGGTAAAATTTGCAAGAATTTCACGCAAACTTTTCACTTTTTCTTTGAGGTTACTGCGTTAGAATACGGTGTGAAAATGAACGTGAATGAGGCTGTAACAGGACACAATGTGGAACAAACGAAGCGCTGTGAGTACTTTCCAGATGCAGTGAGTGATCGTGTTGATGCCTTGCTCAAGGGCGCCGCCGTGTGGAGGAAGGAGGCTGTTACTCGCGTTTATGCCGAGTCTACAGGTTGAAAAGTGGCGTCGGGTAATTCCATCAATGTGCTCTTGTGAACCGGAGCGGAGGTTTGTTAGTGCTGTTTGTGCTGCTGCGGAGAGCATCGCCGATCTGAGGAACATCCTCATTGGCTGATTTGTGACGTTTAGGGGGGCGTGGAGCCGGCTTGGTGGCACCAGTGTGACATTTATTTTTTAAAAGAAACAAATCTGTCAGCAGACCACGTTTCTATTATCAACCCTCTGTTTGGGATAACCGATTTATCATCATTCATTTGTTTGTCTTCAGTCTAAATCGCAGAGCCCTCCTCCGTTTCCCCTCCTCCCCCGCCTCCTTCTCCATCCCTCCTCCTCACATTTCCCCGGTGCTGCTGCTGCTGCTGCTGCCTCCGTGTCTTCGGTGCGGTACACCGCAGCCATGGTGGACTCTCCCAGCGCGATGAAGAAGACCTTCTCGGTGCCGGAGATCAAACCGCTGGACCAGTACGACTTCAATCGAGCCAAGATCTGCGCCAGCGTTCGGTGGCTGCTGTCGAAATCCTACGGCTCTGCAGGTACCCTCCAGCCTCTACCCACAGCTGAGGCGCATCTTGGGTGGGGCGCTTAATAATTTATCCCGCTGTATCCCGCTCCATATGCAGCTCCGAGTCCGTCTAACCCCGCTATCTGCCTTCAAGGGAAAGCCCTTCTCCGCGTCATCCATCATTATCATCCTCTGCCCCGACGATGCTCGTGGTTAACCTGCGCCAGCGTCTCCCCCCCTCTATCGGGTGTGCAGTTTCCACAGCGCGTGCAGGTTATCATATTAGCTAATTATTTGACGTGAGCACGAGGCTTGTCAGAAGGAATCTCCTCAGTGGTGCGTGATGCGTGGAGGAACCGGACAACAAAGCCTTTGTCGGAGCCGGGCTCAGTCAGGCCTGTGGAGAGATTTGTAACGACAAGCAAATTTATTTATTTTATTTATTTATTTTGTGGATTTGGAAAATGTGTATGTATAGCTCATGCGTGGGCCTGCTCTAAATGGGTCAAGACCGCATAATATTTGTGTCAGTGTTACGCACGCACGGTGTGGTGAAGGTGACACAGTGGGGCTGCTAAGACAATGGATGGCTTTCTTGCACCACACGCATTCATTCCCTGAAGAAGTTCTGAATAAACCCGGCACAAGTGCCACCTCCTCCCTGCATTAACAGGCCAAAGGATGCAGAGGGTTTCTGAATGCTGTAAGCAGGTGTAGGTGCAGCATCCTGCTGCGTTAAACCACCTCTCATGAAGTCCACGTTGTTTAGATTTTGGTCACACTGTGGAAGAAATGTTAGGTCAGCTTTGGTCTTTGTGCACTTTATGCCTGCTCTGTATCGGGTGACATCATGCTGCGTTGCTGGGTCTGCAATCAGCGGTTTTGTCATTTGATCAGACCGACCGACCAAAACACAACCTTATTTGATTCTGAAGCAGTACAGCATCCTGCCAGCTGCTATTGCTCTGGTTAGTGCTGTGGCTACCTCCGGCCTCCTTTTAGCATGACAAATGTGACATGACCCAATCTCACATAATGTGCATGTGGGAAGGTTCAGACTGTGCTGGCTAAGGCAGTGATGTCACACAGCAGGCTAACTAAGCAGTAGTAAACCTGCGCATGTAATAATCCAGGTTATCTGCTGCAGTAATGGCTTTAGACAGAATTTCATATCACATTTGTGTCTGGCCTCCCCGTCAGTGCAGGACAGCAGAGAGGAGGAGAGATGAGCTGCAAGCCTCTCAGCAGGGAGGCTTCATTGTTATCCGTCAACTGGAAAATGTCCACTGGGGTGTCTTGTCGAATTTTTAATGGAAGCCCCGAAGAAAATGGCACTAATAAAGCCCCACATGAGATTCATGCACCGGTCACAGTCCTCACACTGATGAGGTTTATTATTCCACCCAAACAGTGGACAGGAACGCAGAGAGCTGTTATCTAATGATTGTGTCACTTTAAAACAAACAGAGACATTATGAAACCAGTTGTTTTTTCTTGGTATCATGTGGTTTCCAAGTCAAGTTAGGTAATAGTCTTCTAGTAAAGACTCCGTGACCTTTAACCTTTATTTAACCAGGAAATGGCCTCACTGAGAGTTAAGATCTCTTTGGCAGGATTGTCCTGTCTGAGCAGGAGTCACGCATCATCAATAAAATATTTCTAACTCACGAGAAGTGACAAACTGAGAGTCACCACATGCGTATGTGTTCACATCAGTTTTAGCTCTGTTTTTGGTCTACACCAACTAGAACTGAACCACCTTCTGATTTAGCAACCATTCAACTTTTTCAGATCCAAAATAATGTTGACTTAAATTTATGTCCTGAAAGAGCTGGCATTCATTGGTTTCCCTGGTAGTAAGGAAATCATCGATTTCAGCACATGTAACCCTGAAATGATGAGTGGACTTTAACTCAACATGAATTTAAGGAACCATTTGAATTCAAGCACATTAGTACCTTCTCTCAGTTTTCAAGCTTATATGTTACAAATTCCCATTTTAACTGGTGGAATATTCTGCTTTTCTTTGACAGAACAGGATGTTTTTCATGTTCTGGGATAATGGTTGCACAAGGAGACAATCTGAAGAGTCTGAGATTGGCTCTGGAAATCTATCCTGGACATTGTTCATTGTTTTTAGAATGATTAGCAGGTCAATCCATGGAGAAAATAATCCATATCTGCTTCCCTAAACATGTGTTTGCACTGTGGTAGAAAGATTTAAATGGATAGTTCCACAGTCCTGTTTGTTATGTTCCCAGATACACTTTGTGTAACGTTAAATGCTTTAGCCGATTCCTACTCTGCAGTCCAGTCTCATTGCCTCAGCTGTGATTGGGACAAATGGCCACTTTCCATTTTCATCGTTCCCATAGTGACCGCAGTCCTGTTTCCTCCCAGCTCTCTTTACAGAGTCTGAAAGGCAAAGGGGTCCAACCCCAAAAACAGTGCGCCTGTGTCAGACTGCACTGCAGTGTGTGCTCAGTGTAATCGATGTGCTCGTCAAATCTTTTGTCTCCTCTCCTCAGAGAAATGGGCCACAGCATAGGAAGGAGGAGTTTCAGTTACATAAGTAAGACTTACGACAGTGGAGAGTAGTTGTGGTGCTCATTGTGGGTCACTCTGAAAATGTGTGTGGACGGATCAAGAAGTGAGGGGGTAGAAAATAATGGCAGAGACTTAAAGAGATCAGGGACTGACTGCAGAGTGAACGGAAGGCACGCGAGCTCTGAGAGTTCCTTCAAATCTACTCCAGTCTTCCAGATCATGCCAAGTTGGAATATGGGTCAGTCAGGGAATTGTGTGTTTTTGTGGTCACAGTGTGTATGTGTCTATGAACTGACCAACTCCTAGCCAACAGTACATGTTCACAAACACACACTCTCTTGTCTGGGTAACCTAGCTGAGCTGTACATGAAGATGATGACATTATTGCCTCCTGCAGTCAGATTCTGTAGCTTTCCGTCACAGATTTCCATTGTGGGAATACGTCTTCAGTGTGTTCCATAAGTTATTTATATTTTTCCACAGTTTATGTGACAAGGCTGGCTGTAAACAGTCTGGGTGACTGCTGCAGCCTCTTTTTTTTTTTTTTTTTTTTTTTACATTGGGCAGTGTTTTCATAAAGCCTTTCTCTGCATCAGAATTCCAGCTGGCAGTTTTTACCGTTCCCAGAGCACAGCACAGGAAAGCTCAGTGTTTTCTCCTCATATATATCGGCTCACATGCACCCAAGAGATGTAGCTCTTGTATAAAGTGGACAAGTTCTTATTCTCAATGATCTCGGCTTGGAGATAATAGATGAGTGTACAGCTTGCACCTTTTAGTGAGCGTCCTTTGAATATCTAAACACAGTTGTATCTTTTGCATCTAGCATCGTTTCTTTAAGCATAAGCATTGTTGCAGATCAGGTACACCCTTTCATGGAAACGGTATTCCCTGTTGGCTGTGGCCTCTTTCAGCAGGATAAAGGATCTGTTGACAACAACATGGTGCCAGATACCACAGCACACCTTTAGTGGTCCATGCCTCAAAAGGCCGGGGCTGTTTTTCCAGCAAAAGGGGAACAACACCCTATTGGACACGTGGTCATGATGTAATGCCTGATCGATGTGTAAAGAAGAGCTAGAAGTTGGTGCTTTAATCTCAAACCTCTTTTTCAAAAGCTGCTACTGGTCAAACTGACAGTTAAAAATATTTCATAAAGAATTTTTCTCTTTACCTTTGCATGCTAGCAACATCCATTGAGCTAATATGCTAATTGTAAGAAGATTTAAGGTCAGATTTACTGAACAGGTCAAAATAGCGTGGAAGTCAAATCTCAAATAAGTTTTTTTCTATGCTTTTTAACTACCTTTCATACTCCAGTGGATGTATCAGCAAAGAACTTCGGGTTAGTATCTTGCCCAAGGATATTTGGCATGCAGACTGAAGGGAGCCAGGGATTGAACTACTAACCTTCCAATGAGCAGATGACCTGCTCTACCTCCTTAGCTACAGCTACCCTGTAATAGGTGTGATTCAGTGTTAAATATCTGTACAATTAAGAATAATCTGCTTGATTTAAATATTCCCCTCTCTATATTTTGTGCCTTGAAAGAGTAACTTCCAGAATCACAAATGCGACAGGGTCAGTTGCAAAAAGCTCTACGTTCCCACCTCATGTATTCTTGTCACTGTGCTCTCTTAGTAAATTCCAACAAAAACCAAGTGTGTTAGTAAATCTGGCCTGTGAAGTGAGCTCTGACCACCATGTGAATGAGATCGAGGCAAGTGATCCATTGTGGTGACCCCTAAAGAGAGCAGCCAACAGGAGAAGACCTGTTGGCTGCTAATATTTGCTAATATGGACTCTTCTTCCAAAAACCAAAGTGAGAATGTCCTTTTCTTTTCAGAGAACGTTCCGGTGGAGTTGCGTGATCCGCTCTATAAGGACCAGTATGAACAAGAGCACCTCAAGCCGGCTGTCTCCAAGCTGCTTCTCTCCCCGGAGATCTATTGCAGAGCTCAGGCACTGCTTGCCCAGGCACATGGGGTCTCTCAGCCAGCATCGCAGGGGTCTCCAGCTGATAACTCTGCCCTCCTGCAGTTCCTCATTAAGAAAGGTTTCGCTCCGAAGGTCCAGGATGCCGATGTCACAGAGGAGGACCTTAGCAGTAGCCCTATTAAAACGGTGTGTGTTGTGTATTTGTATGATGGCGTATTTTCTACTTTAAATTCAACCTGCAAGTGGTCGAATGCTTTCAGCATCTCAGGTAGCATTTGAATAGTCACTTAAATGCAATTTAAAAATATTTTTATAGGAGGTTTCCAATGTAAGATTGGATCATTTACAGGAAGGAAAAGAGGAAGGCCAGACAATAGCCAGGGAGGGCGGTAGGAAACAACAGAAGGAAGGATAGGAGGAGAGAAGCAAATCTAAAGAAAAGAAGGAAA